ATCATTACTGTAAACAGTTCCACGAATGCTCCTATCTCCGAGACTTATAGCTCACAAAAAAATAACTCTTACACGCCTTGCGTGCCTATGTTTAAACTCGTGGATACGTGAAGCGTAGAAACGTGTTTGTTGCGGGGAATCCGATATGCAAATGTGCCACTCACTCACTCAGGTGTACACACTGTTCGTTATTAGTGAGCTTAAGATCCGACGACGGTTGACACATGCAACGGCAAGCGGAAGTAAAATTACTGCCAGAATTACTTCCGGCTGCCGTCGTTGTGACGTTTCGCGCCGTAGAGGCCATGTCTGCGACGTGAAAGAGGCCATTTTGCTGTTGCGTCTAAAACGTGAGTAAACTTTATCAAAATAGCATCATTTAAACTTATTTTACTAACTAAATTAACTAAATTAGTTCGAAATTTTGACAGTTTGTTCTTTTTAAAGAAAGACTGTGAAATATCTGAGCAAAATAAAAGAGTTGAGCAAGAAAATATGACTCCGAAAATTTTGACCGTCGTTCGTTTTCCTTTCAGTGAGAAAGCCATGGAAAAGAAAGCAACCCAGTAAGTTTTGCTATTGTCCTATTTCTTGGTTTATTTCTAAAAAAAAAAGGTCATTAGAGTTGTTCCGACAGAAGTGAAGTTCGCTATATTTTTCCACGTCTCTTTTCTCGCGCCAAACAAGCAGGCTCATCGTGAGTTATCAGTAAGGCTTTTTCGGGCAAATTACCTTCGTTGATTAGGTGTTTATTAATGTTTATTGCAAAATATATTTATCATGAGTTGACGAATTTAGGCTTGGGTTATGCCTCGTTGCATTTATAAAAACAATAGACTTCCCTGATTTGCTATGGAAAGTTCTGAACTCATAATTGATCTTCACTGAATCAAAACATTTCGAAGTGGTTAAATTATAATTAAACTTAAGCATACTCGCGAATATTTAATGTACAGTAAAGTACCGAATACGAGAAACTAATTTTTAAGAACCTGTTGGGCTAAGATTTTCATTTTGACTTATTTACATGAATGTCAATGTTACCCTATGAAAATATTCTAATCAGGTAATTATTATGGAGATAATACAAATTTCTTCTAGCAAGAACAAATTTTTTCTTGAAGAAAATATGAACCTACATAACCTTATTTGACAGTAAACATCAATCATGAGAACCTGTAAGGTTAACTTTAAGAACAGATGACAGGTTCTTGAATGGGGCTTTAGCTGTATTTTTTAAAACATCCATGTTTTATTTTCTCAAAATGTAGATCTAACATGGAGTGGACAGAAGATCATGACCGCTCTCTCTGTCAAGAAATTCTGGCTTTAGGACCCCTCCAAGCTAAAAAGGGCAGTATTGCAAGAGGGAAAATTTGGGATCAGATTGCCAGTAATCTTAACTTCTTGGAAATTCCAACATTTAAAGTTACCAAGCGCTCGGTGAGAGAGCGTTACACACTACTCATTGAAAAATTAAAGAAAAAGTTAAAAGAAGAGGAGAAAGCCAGTGGCATTGAGACTGACATGAATGGTGTTGAGAGAGCATTGGAAGAAATACTAGAAAAGGAAGCTGATGCTGAAAACACCCTGGCAACTGACAGGAAAAGAGTGGATAATGTCAAAGCTGTTGAGAAGAGGAATAGAGCAATAGAGAGCATGTGTTCGACACAGAAAAGGAAGCAGGGTGATGAAGACAAGGATGCAGAGAATGCACCCAAGCCAAAAATCACAACAAGGAGTGGTGGGGACACAGTGGCATACCTACGTGAGAATAATGATATGGTTCAGAAATGAAAACTGAAGAATTGGAATTGCACAAGCAGCACCTTGAAGTTGAGAGTAGAAAGCAAGATGAGTTTCAAAAGCAACGGCAAGCAATGATGCAAATGATGGCCCAGCAGTAGCAACAATTTCAAATGTTTGCTGCCATGCAACAACAGCAAACACAAGTCATTTTGAAGATTTTAGAAAAACAAACTAAGTTAAAGATCATGTAGTTGAATGCAGCTGTAAAGGTTTAACCCTGAGTTGTTTAAGTTCAAGGATTTTAGACCTTGTTTCTGTATGATTAAAGAAGGTTTACAGGTTAGGGGTGGGGTGGGGGTTGTCAGGGCAATTTCAAAATTTTCTTTGTATTTTTTTGGGATGTCCCTCTCCCCTGCTCTACCCTGGTATGCTTATACCCCTGGGGGACTCCCTTGTGAAACAGACAGGACTGATTGTTGGAAATTTTGAAATAAACCCCTAAAGAAGATTAGTTTAAGCAAGGCTCAGGCTTTTTATGACCCTTTAAAGATACCAAAATTACTAAAAATATGCTTTTTTCTCTTTCTGCAATTAACCCTAAATGAGACCCTAACAACTTAAACATTGGGTTTTGCTGAAATATCCTAAGCAAGGCCAAGCATTCAAAATCTACACCCCTAAGCAAGATGACAAGCATCCCTGTCTGTTTCATATAGGAGTACCCCCACCCCTTCAGGATTTATAACCTTGTATCCTTTTGATCTTGAACCCTTGTTCTAAATTGTTGTTGTTATACAGAGATATAAAAGAGTTATGGTTGTTACACAGTGTATAAAAACAAGAATAAATACCAATTCAGTTTATTGACAGGCAGCAGATACAGACTGTTACATCTTTTTCATTCCTTGTTTATCTTGACATCAGTTAATTATTCAATTCAATTTTGGGTACAATTTATTTAAATTGTTATGCA